ATATATATATATATATATATATAACAAAATTAGAGTCACAGTTCATATTGTTTCAGATCCTGCTCTTTAAATTAACATTATTTCTCAAGCATCACCTCATATTATAACATTTTTATGCAGATGAAATTTGGTTACAATCAATATCAAGGGCCACCCTGAATAAAAGGACTTCATAGAGGTGTCTGTGGGAAAAGCAGCACTTGACAGGGAAAATGTGTCACCAGGGACCCTGAGAGTCACTCAGCCACCTATTTCCCATGAGCTGCCAACAAGAAATTTTATAAATTAGATAGAAACTAAGACTCAGTATGTGGCCAGGCCAGGGGCTTCAACTGTGTCACCTCATGTAATATGCACAAGCCTACAAAGTAGTTATAATTATCCCAATTTTACAGGAATAAGACTCAGGGGGGTTAAGTTTGTCAGGGGGAAAGGGGAAGAGGAGTGGGGATGCCAGGTGAGGCATCACAGGCCTAGACCTAGACTTTTGGTATCATCCAGATTCAAGGGCAAAGACTGTGTTTTGAATTCCAGGTTTGTCGAGTTTCAATATGTTGAGCTCCTTATGTTTTGACCTAGCAATTCCATTTGTAGGAATTGAACCTTCAGACAGCATGCACATAAAATGGAAATGACGTTATGTACAAAGTCATTCACTGTGCCCCTGCTTGTCAGAGCTAAAACTTGAAGACCTGCATTTCATGATTAAGACTCGTGAAATTTGGTACATTCATGCAATGGTAAAAAGAATGGGGAGGCTCTTTAGAGCACTGACATAGAAAGACCCCCAAAATATATTAGGTAAAAAAAAGCAAGGTGCAGAGCTGTGTTCATAATATGCTGCCACTTGTTTTCTCTTAAGATAAACAGAGAATATGTAGAGGTAAGGTATTTGCCGAGGCTTGTATTTGCATAAAATGCCTCGGAAGTTGAGCTTCTGAAACTTTAACGTGTATTCGAATCCCCTTGGAATGTGTTAAAATTCAGATCCTGATCCCAGCCCAAGATTGTACATTCCTAACTCGCAAGGCATGGTGATGCTTCTGATCCAGACTGCAATTTGTGTAGCAAGATTTGGACACGCGTGCACATACACATAAAATGGTTACATTGATGCCCCCCCTCTCCCAGAAAGTGGGCCTGGGTGACCGGTAGACAGGGACGAGAGGGACATTTTCGCTAAATTCCTTTTTGTGTCTTTGAATTTCGAACCATGTGGATATATTATCTAGAAAAATAAAAACATATAAAAAGATACAAGAGGCTGTGCACATCCCAGTGCCCCAGAACGCAACACAGACCCCCCTCTCCCCGCCCCTGCCCAGAGCCAGGTGGCTGACAGAGTGGCTCATCCACTCTGCCCCGTGTCGCTCAGGAGCTGAGTGGGGTTATGCTGATGCCCCCACAATTTCTATTGGGCTGGGTTTTGGATAGCCCAGGCTTTCTTTGTCCTCCTCCTCTTGTCTTCACTTACCACCACTTCCTCTTCAAAGACCTTTCCGCCCTCGTTTATCTTCTGCAGCTCAGTGTGTTCATACTCATGTGAGGGGTCCCCCATGAAGCGGCCCTTCACCACAGATGTCTGTGCCATCATCTCCTCCGTGGCAGGGGGCAAGAGGCTCCACTCCATGCAGTTCAGGCTGCCAACAACATCCCCACGGACCTGGTTCCCAACTACCCCTCTCACTCAGGCTTCCTGCCACTGCCCCTTCTCTTGAGGGATGAAACTCAAGAAAAAGGTCAGTCACAGCTCTCCCCTTGGAAGGTGTACCCCACCCCCACTTGTGATGCAAATTCCATTTTATTTTGTAAAAGTTCACAAAAGCTTCATGTATGCCAAAATTCCAAGAACTTCTTCCTAGATATCTGCACTGTGAGATTCCTGATGAGTTTCTAGAACCTCAATTACAGGCAACTCCGCTTTGCTGAACCCCAAATTCATGCTCAGCCTGCCTACTGAACCAACAGCATGGCCGTCTTCCCGCATTTCTCAGGGAAGCCAGCTCAGGCCACAGGGCCCATCCTCTGAGGTCTCCAGCGCTGACCAGCCAGACGCTTCTTTCCCCTCCCACCAGGAGAGGGCATCCTCCCCTCCACTCTAACCCACTTGGCCTGTGTCGCAGGCTGCTCATCTTTCTGCCCTTCCCTCTCTGCTGGCTCCTTTCTCAACATCAAAACTTCTCAGCTTCCCAAATCAACACCCCCCAAGTCCATGGCCTGCTAAAAAATATCCTCTTCCTGTCCCCCTCTCCTCTCTCTCCAGCTCTGAATAATAATCTCAGAACAGGGGTGCCTGGCTGGCTCAGTCCGTAGAGTATATGCTACTTGATGTCAGAGTCATGAGTTCAAGCCCCACGTTGGATGGGAGGCCTACTTAAAAAAAAACAAAAACAAAAACAAAAAACACCTCAGGGGCACATTGGTGGCTCAGCCGGTTGAGCATCTGACTCCTATTTTTGGCTTAGGTCATGATCCTGGGGTTGTGGGATTAAGTCTACTTGGGATTCTTTCTTTCTCCCTCTGCCCCTCTCCCCCATGCTCGCTCTCTAAATAAATATCCCAAAACAACTTGCTCTATGAAAGCCTTTCTTCCCCTCCCCTTCACTCTGCCCACTACATGGTCATTTCTGCCCCCACCATCCCCAAAAAATGGCTTAGGAGGTCATTCATGGGACCTAAAAACCAACAAATGCATTCCATTTCTGTTTCCTTTGACATCTCCCTTCTCCCTCCTTCACTGCCCTAAATATTCCCAGGGATCTATTCTTGCCCCTCTTTTTCTCTCTGCAGACTGGCCCACCTGACTCTTAAGAGACTTAGGTACTGTCTAGTTGGTATCCAGAATCCAACCACCTCTTACCACTCCACTGTTCCCCACTGGTCCAAGTCCCTATCTACTCTTACCTAGATATTACAGTAGCCTCCTAACTGGTCTCCCCAATTCCATACCTGCTCCCCTTTCAGTCTCATTCCCACCCAACTGCTAGATCATGTCTCTGTGCACAAGCTTCCCACACTTCCCATGAAGCCCACTCCTTGCAATGCCCACAATGCCCTGCAAGATCGTCCTCGGTCCCTTACCTCTCTGACCTCATGTCTTACAATGCTCCTGCTCACTTACTCCTCTCCAGCCGCACTAGCTTCTATGGGGTTCCACCAACACTAAACACACATCTGCCTTGAGCCCTTTTCACTTGCCTGGAATTCTCTTCCTTCAGATAAACACATAGCTCACTTTCTCAGTTGCTTCAGGACTCTTCACAAATGTTACCTTATCAGAGAGAGTGTCTCTGACCACCCTATTTAAAACAGTACCCCATCCTGTATTCTCTATTCCTCTCGGCACTGCGCACCAGCAGACATGCAATGTATGTGTGTTTATATATTGTTTCACACACACACACACACACACACACACACACACACACACTATAATGTAAACTCTATAAAGGCAAGGACTTTTGTCTCATTTACTACTGAATTCCTGGTGCCTAGATCAATGCCTGGCACATAGTAGGTGCTGAAGAGATAAAAATCTTATGGAACAAAATGAGTCCCAAATCTTTATCTTCAGTCCAGATTTTTTTATCTGGACTTCAGCTTTGTACTTTAATATGCCTCCTTATGACCCTGCTCCCCAGTCACCTCATATCAAGTTCACTGGGGCTTCCCTAGTCCTACTTCCGGATTTCTGTCCCTGTGGGTGGCACCAGCACTTACCCAACTGCCTTAGCTGGAAGGAGGGTCAACCTTGACCTCTTCTTCACCTGCCCCATTCAGACCCAAGTCCTGACAGTGCTACCGTCTACATCTTTCCCACCCATCTCCTCCCCTATTCCCTCAGCTACCTCTTCCTTTCAGTCTCCTTCATCCGGACACTGCAACACACTCCTGAATGCTCACCCACTTCCAGGCTGGCATGCCCACTCAGATATAAACAGGCTCTTGTTGCTTAAGGCCCCTCAATGGCTCCCCATAGCCTACAAACAAAGTTCAACCACCGCCTCCCCAAGCCTCTCCATCCAGTCTGCATAAACACCCTTGCCCGCCACTATCATGTTTACCTACCTGCTGTTCTCCCAAACACTCCAAGTCCATTGCAGCCAAGATTGCAGAACCATTCCCTCTAACTGGCATGCCTTTCCCTCACACCTTCCTGAGGAACTCATCAGCTTTCAGATCTCAACAGATCTCTTACTCCCTTAGCAGTCTTATTTAATTGCTGTCTAGAAGGCCTTGGTCCCCCTTTGTATACATTTCTGTTCAGGTGTTAACACACTTTGCTGTAATTGCAGGGTTATGTGTCAGTCTTCCTTCCTAGGATGTGAATAACTTGGAGACTGGTGAGACTTGGCCATCTTTGTAACCCTGTCTACACAGAACGCATCCAATCAATGTTGCATTGATGCACGACAGATACATGAAGTCTCCCAACTCCCTGCGGCCTGAAAGGGTTGTTTTGTAAGGTGGTGAGCTTCCCAGCATCGCTGCAGGTAGTCAAGACTGGCAGGATGGCCCTGTATGGTAGCGTCCAGTGAATTTTCCCCAGTTTGATATCCCTCTTCTACTATTCTGCATTGGTTCTCTACTTCCTAGACTGCCTCCTTTTGTGAGCCAACTCCTACTCCACCAAAGATGCTCCTGCATCCCCTTCTAAACAGCACCTCATTACCCTCCAGGACTTCTAACCCTTTCCAAACTGCCCTCAATACCAGGACGTACCTAGCGTCCACTCCGGGTCTCCATTGTCCAGGAACTTTCACCTTGCTCTGCCTACGTTCTTAGCCCGGCCTCTATTATAAACCCACCAGCCTCCAAATTGTTCTCCTCCCCCTGTCCCGCCCCTGCTCTGCGCTGTTCTCATGCCCCCCACCCCCACCCCACCTTGCCCTATAGGCCTCGCTCCTTTCGATTCCATCCACACCCACCCCATCCCAGCCTCCTAGTGGCGCCCCCTTCAGTAGCCCGGGGCCTCTGCCTCCACCTGTAGAGGGTCTTGCGTGGTGCGAGCTGGTCCTCACTCAGGCCCTGCGCGATGTAATAATCGGCGACAAGGCCGAGGATGCGGCCCCAGAAGAGGACCCGATCATAGCGGTAGTCGCGTTTCACCAGCAGAAGAGAGGTAAGTAGAGAGGCCCGACGGTCCGGGCTGAGGCCCTGCCCACTGCCGGACGCCAGCTCCAGCGACAGCAGGAGGCTCTCTGCGTCCATCGTGCCCAAGGCTCGGCTCAACGCCTGCCAGGTTGCTAGGAGAAGCTGTCTCCGTGGAGACCAAAGCCCTGCCCTCCGCAGGGCAGTAAGGATTCCACTCACCGTCTGTGGGCCCCGCCCTCTTAGAGCCTCAGGCCAGCCCTGCTCCCCACCCAGCCCTTCAGAAAAGCTGGGTGGCACACTAGCTCCCATACTTTCCTTCTTGCGTTGGGGACCTCATGTGTTCAGCTGTGACAGTAATGGCGTAGTTTCCCCTAACATAGGTAGGCTACAGTGTGGGATTGAAGGTCCCCAGTTCCATAGATATTTTTGCCTTTCCCTGAGCCCTTCAAATAGTTGACATTTATTGAGTCCTCATTCTATATGGAATGGGGGCTCGGGAAAAAAACAGAACAGTGACATTAGCCGTATTATTTCACTCCAGTTGTGTCCCTTCTTAGCCTCAGAATTGTGTAAAGAATTTGCGATCCTCCTGGCTCTAAAAGTCTAAGAATCTGGAGCACCTACGTGGCTCAGTGGGTTAAGCACCCAACTCTTGATTTCCACTCAGGTCATGATCTCGCAGTTTGTGAGTTCAAGCCCCCCATTCCGCTCAGTGCTCACAGCGCAGAGCCTATTTCGGATCCTCTGTCTCCCACTTTCTGCCCCTCCCCTGTGCATGCTCTCTCCCTCAAAAATAAACAAACATTGAAATAATAAAAAAAGTCTAGGGATCTAAGATAATTAATCCCCCTGCCCCCACCCCCAAGCCCTACAGAATGGGGTCCATCGTTCCATTCTCTTCAGTCTTCATGAGATGTCTATTTACTCCTTCCATAGGACTATTCCACCCAACTGACAAATGGAAACCTAGGCACTGGGGCAAGGTACAGAGCTACACCTTGGGAAAACAGGATGTGAAGAGAAATACAAAAAGGATGACATCACTTGCCACCTACATTTAGCTATCTCGGGCACCACAACAGTTGCCTTTAGGCCCAAATGGTAGCAACACATGAAAGGCCAGAACCCCACTGTAGCTGGGCCTCTTCACTCCCTGGGCTAGAGAGACTACTTCACACCCACCTCTGGAGTCCCCAGCCAAGGTCAAACAGATGAACAGATGCCTACAGCAAGCTTGTTGTCAGGGAAGGAGATTGGACTTGTTAATATTAACTGATCTCATTTCTGGATTCCTTTGGAGAGGACTCATGGAATTAGAATGACCTGAGCCCCAGTGCCAAGCCAAGAGAGAAATAAGTGTCTAAATTACCCAGATAATTACTTTGTTTTGATTATCTGGACATTGTTTATAAAGACTTTTAAAATTTGAGGGAGCTGATGGTCTAATGTGTCTTCCATCTCAAAAAACAATTTGTAACTCCCCTGTTGAACACTCTCCCTCTGCTCAGACACTTTGGTCTATCCATTCCCAAGTGGGAGGTATGGCCCCGTTCCTTTTGTAAGGCAACATCCTCAGATAGAAAACTAGCAGAAATTCTAACTGGTGAAATAGGCTTCAATTGGTCATAGCCCTGAAAGTAACTCAGACCTTTTGTTCTCATTGATTCCAGATTTACTTACCACTTATTAATGGCAGGTGCCTCGTCAGGAACCATTGTGAAGCCAGAAAAGGAAGTCCTGAGGCCTTCCGATGCTAGCACTTTTGGCAGACTGAATCAGGTTAACTATTTCAGAGTAAGACCACACAGTACTAAGCCTCTGGAGCCAAGTGGACTGGGTTAGAATCCAGGTTTCACCATGTAGGCAAGTTGTTCAATTTCCCCAAGCCTCATCTATAAACTGGGAACAATACGTACTATGGAAGGTTGTTACATGAGATAATGTATGTAAAGTGCTTAAAATGTAATATACAATATAAACTATTTTTTTCTTAAAAGACAAAAACATTCTTCTTAAAAATAAAAAATAGTAAATATTTATATTGTCCCCATTTACACACACACACACACACACACACACACACACACACACACACACCTACCTACCTACCTATCTCCAACACCAGCAAGGTAAGGATTCTGTCTTCAATTCGCTTCCAAGAAATAAGCAGGTGTTCTCAGGAACTAAGAGCATCAGTGCTTAGCAGTCAGGACACCATCAAGCCGGAGAGAACAGCAAGGATCAGGAGGGCCAATTCAGAGGTGCAGCTGAGGAGGAACTGCCACAGGCAGGAGAGCGGGGTTTGCCTAAGGACAATACTGCCAACAGTAACTGCCAGCGGTGACCACACAGCTGCAATGGAGACAGGCTAGGCAGAATCCCCAAAAGGCCATTTGGCCTCAGGAGCAGATCCCACAGGCTTTACAAAGACTCTCTCTTAGCCCAGTCTCTCAGCCCCCTCCCTTCCCCTGTGTGACCTGGGGCACACATACTTTAATGATCACAAATACCAGTATGTGACAAGGAAAAAATGCCAGGCTAGGAGTCAGCTGATGAGGACTCTAGTCCCAACTCTGACATCAAAGTGTTACAGAACTTTGGCCAAGTCACTTAACTTCCCGGATCGGCCTGGGGCTGATAAAGAGAAAGAACTGCAGTCGAAAAAATCCTAGAAGCCCTGGAGCATAAGAGACCAAGGAGAAAGATAAAATATTCCATCTGAACCCTGGAAATCTTTAAAACAAGAGTCTCAGATAATTTAATATGGATCCATTCATTTTTACATTTAAGTTCATTATGTCCCTGGTAAAAATTCTGAAAGGCCACAGCAAAAAGCCACTTCCATAAGAGTGTCTGTCTATGGACTCATACTTGTTTTCCATCCCTGAACAGAAATGCCTCACCCAGCACCTTCTGGGAAAATCAACCTTTGATTCAAAGAGATGTTGTTCAATGATAATTATGACAGCCGCAGTCATACAATCAGCCCACCAGGAAGTCTGAGGAAGGGAGGCAGGCAGCCGGAAGAACAGAACATTCCTCTCACCAGGAAACAACTCTAGCTCTAAGCAAAAGATGGGTGACCTGGTGCCAGAGGGGGGAAGATAACTGAAGCCATTGTGTTCATGATTAAGAAGCATCCCCATTCACTCATGGAAGCCTTTAAGTGTCACTGGTGCCTGGAACCAAACGTAGTCCTCCCAGGCTGTGGTTGGGATAGAGGGCCTGCCACAGGACAGGGTCACAGTCAGTTTGTGACCCCGGGTAGGCACTCGGTAGTTGAGCTTGGGTTGAAACCAATCTTCTCCACAGTCACGGTGCCCCTGTGCCATGACAATGGTGCCCATGAGTGGAGGAGCCTGTAGCTCACTGAAGGCATCAGCCATGAAAATGGCTCGGAAGAGACGGCGCAAACAAGCTGCTGTGCTCAGGCTCTGGTCCATGCTGTTGGGGGCCAACCGGGACAAGTCAAGCTCGTAGAACTCCTTGGGATTTAGGGCACTGCCGCCAAGGAGGATTAGCACTCGGGGTACTAGTGTCCGGGCAAAGAGACCCTCTAGGTGGCTGAGGACACTCTCCAGTTCTGCCAGGGATTGCTGGCATTTCCTGCTGCTCACCTCAACAGTGGCCCGAGGTTTCTTCTTCATCACCTCTTCTGCCTGTGAGGACAAAGAATGGTGAAAGGGAAGGACAAGATGGGGGAAGCCATTGCCCTCTGAAGATACCTGTTGGGATGCAGTAGACTTCTGGGACTGGGCTTCCACGGCAAAGACGCTGGATTTTATCAGAGGGCAATAAATCAAAAAGGAAAATGTATTCTTTGTACAAAACCATATTTTTTCCCACATTTAGAACAGAAAGACAGGTGGGAATACAAACTGGTGCAGCCACCCTGGAAAACAATATGGAGATTCCTCAAAAAATTAAAAATAGAACTACCCTATGACTCACCAATTGCACTATTAGGTATTTATCCAAACGATACGGGTGTGCTGTTTTGAAGTGACACATGCACCCCAATGTTTATAGCAGCACTATCAACAATAGCCAAAGTATGGAAAGAGCCCAAATGTTCATCGACAGATGAATAAAGAAGATGTGGTATATAAATACAATGGAGTATTACTCAGCAATCAAAAAGAACGAAATCTTGCCATTCGCAACTACATGGATAGAACTAGAGGGTATTATGCTAAGCAAAATTAGTCAGAGAAAGACAAAATCATATGACTTCACTCATATGAGGACTTTTAAGACACAAAACAGATGAGCATAAGGGAAGGGAAGCAAAAATAATATA